ACGTGTTGCAGGACAAAGAGAGGCTGTATCAGTACTTGTTCGGAGAGTCCGTAAGAGGAAGCCATGCATATCAGTCCACTGCGGAGCCTCCAGGTGAGAATGAGTCTGAGCGGAGGAAGAGGGAGAAGGTAAGGAGAGAGAACAAGATGCCATGGATGGATGAGTACTGGGGGGTCCTTCAGCCAGAACCAATATACTCGAGGACTCAAAGGTGGTACGTCATTGATGACTTCAAGGAGGGTGAGGAGATTTGCTGCGATTACTGTTTGGTCTGCAATCCCATAGACTCCGATCAGAAAGACGATTGCTATGCAGAATGCATCAACGGAGCAGCAAATAGGTGCCGTGGGATGTCCGCAGAAGACTACGTCCAGAAGCGATTCCATGCATGTGCGCGAATGCTTCACAACTTCGGCATGGGGCAAACGGTATCTTCTCCCACCGTCATGATCTCCGAGATGAACCCGCACGAAGACTTGATGAAGTTCTTACACGAGGCGATGATCATCTTTAACGAGAATCCAGGTTTCCAGAAGGAGATCTCGTTCTTCGGGGGGGATCAGGTTGTCATCAACAATGACGGAGAACTTCTTCAAAACGAGGAGAGGACCCAGCATCCATGTGGAAAAGCAGATAGTCGGCAGCGCCAAGTACTACCAGGGATCTTATGATCTTGGCAACGTGTGCTACACCAAATACCTCAAGACCATACTGGAGCCCGATGTATTCCGTACTATATTCGGAGATGATCCCACGGAGGAACGGGTAGGTGACATGGTGGAAGCGCTGCTGGGCATGTTAGAAATTGCTCAACTCTTCAGGCACATGTTCAAGGGATGGGGTGACATCGAAGCTTTGAGGACGGGATTAGAAGAATCCATCAAGCGCGTCACTGCATCGCTGTACGACAGGACAACGTATGAGAACCGAAAGCGATCGACGATCAGGACCTTGGACCCGCACTCTGAAGAGGCGGCAAACGTGGCACTGATTCTCGTTCGCATGAGGACCATGCCGCCTCCTGAATTCGACATCGACCACTTCTTCGAAATCGGGAAAGAACCAGAACAGGGAACAGAGGCTACTGACCAGCCCGAGGCCGAAGGTGTCGATATGGAGACTGAATTTGAACAGGAGAAGGAGGAGCAAGACGTTGACATGTCCGACCCGAAGACATCAATACTGCAAGCCATCGACGAATTTGAGGAGAAGATCGGGCAAGCAGAATTCTGCATCCACTGCATGAAGTCGGGACACACAACTCTCAATTGCGAGAAGACCCCTTCATCTTCACCCACAGTCACCTCAGTGTTGAGTGATTGGAAGAAGAGAGTGAAGGGAGAGGTTGCACCCGACGATGTACCATCTGGACATCCAACCGAGGAGCCTAAGAAGAAGAAGCAGAGAGCATCGCCTACTCCAGATAGGAAGGTCGACAGCGAGTTCAGGCGAAAAGAGATGTTGAAAGCAAGAGTCGTGACAATGTTCGACCATGACGGATTCACCTTGATCGAAAGTGCTGATGGAGTCGAAGGAGGGACACATTCCTACAATGGGCGGAAGCTTGCGGAAGTAGGCCCTAGGGATATGAGGGTGGTGTACGAGTTCGTAGAGAAGGCATTTGTGCACTCCAGCTCCCTCACACCAAAGGCATGCCATCACTTCTATCCCCTACCGACACGGAGGGAGAAGGGATACAAGCCGATCGACCCCATGACGATGGTCGGGAAAGTCGAACTAGTACCGATCAACGGAGTCACTTTCGCTGCAACGAACTCCGACTACGGCAACCACAAGTATCCGACTCCATACTGTCGAGTACCTGAATACAGCCAAGCGAGCCAAGCCCTGAGTCGTCGATTGGGAGCGAAGTTGAGACATCGAATTGGACGCCAGTTCAGGACAGGTGGAAGACTCACACCAATCAAATGCGATGAAGGCGCATGGGTGTCGTGGGAAGACCTGTTAGGTGATAATGCAGTTTGGGAAGACGGTTATCACTACGGCAACGTAGATACCGTGACCAAGAAGGCGCGTTTGGAGAAGTTCTTCGACCAGAACTATGAGTGTTTCCGCATAACCAAGAGGATCAGATTCCAAATGTTGGCGGTCCGCGTTCGTCCTGATGAACTCAATGATCCTGATGACCCGATGGAGAAGGAATGGATTGACGAACTCAAGGGCATGGGAATCTCTGAAGGAAGACTCCACCACAGCAATGGATGGTGCTTTCCCGTGGCCGTAAGAGCAACCTCAGCACACTCAACGGACGGCGGAGGTTATGACGTCACCACCAACATCGACCACATTGGATCGAGAATGACCAACGACATGGCCCTATCTATGGTGACTGCATTTCACGCTACCAATCTCGGAGCGCTGACTTCAATCATGCGACGGGGGCTAGTGCCAGGAGGTCTCGGTTCATCAGGAAGGGATTCTATCCACTTCACATGTTTTCCGCCATGGGCCTGGGAGCAGGGCTACAAGGGAAAACCTTGGCTGGGTCGTAAGGTCGCATTGAGTGATCGCCCAGTGGTTCTCTACATTCCGGTGTGGAAGCTGCAGGAGTACGGGCTTCTCATCTCAGCGACTGGCTCTCTATTGGTTGAGAACGTCGTTCCCTTCGATGAGGTTAAAGGGGCATGGTTGCAATGCGACAATGCGGAACCCGGACAGCCTGAGGAGATCGAATGGATCAGGTTACTCAATAGAGAACCCGACCCTGGAAGCTACCTTGTTCTGGAGTCCAAATACGGAAACCCGATCATGATCCCACGCTTTCAGAAGCTTGAGAGTTTAGCGGTTGAAGTTCAGGACGATGCCTATTCCGAGGACGACGCCAAAATCTCAAAACTATTGGGCATGATCGAGGAGAGTGGCGTATATCCAGAATATGATAGCACCGAGTGGCAGGAAATCTTTGAGGAGATCGTGTACCGCCGGGCAATGAAAGACTATGACTCAAGGCCGTGTCCTAACTGTCTTGGCGAAGTCGATGTGCGGTTGACGGTATGTCCGCACTGCGTAGCGGTTTTGATCGCGAATGGGAAACTCACGCATGTGGTACCCAAGGAGACAAGAGACCGCAATCAACGATCACCTCCGAAAGATGTCCCAGCCAGTTCTTCCGGTGAAGCAACCTCTGCTGCAGGTGCAAACATCGACGAAGTCATCAAGAATGCACGTAAGACAGCCGAAGAGGTCATTGAGGTCGAGGAATCCGAAGGAGAGGAAGAGGAGGAAGTTCCTATCATTTTGAAGGAACGACCGGACGAAGCTGAAGGCGAACCCGAATATCGGGAGGTCCCTCAAGATGGATACGGGAATGAACTTCCGCAGCCTTTCCCCTTCGCGATTGACGAATTGCCACAAGAAGCTGCGATCCCCATCGACCACAACTTTGCAGTCACACAGCAGTTTGATCTGAGGTTGATGAAGTTGATCAAGAGCTTGGCCAACGCGACGTTCGACATCAACTGCTTTGAGAGTCGTGAAGACGTACTGCGAAAGTTCGACGATGGACAGCGGCATGACACTCCGTACAATAGATGGCCAATAGTACCGAATGATCCGGACACTGGGTTTCCAAGACGTCTCCAGAGAGCCGAAGTCGTAGGCATGAGCAAATGGACCAACGACGTGTATGCAACAGAAGCGTGGCAGATCTATGAGTTCCACGCCCACGTTGTTCACCCGATGATGATCACTGCAATCCGCTGCGGGCTTAGCCACAAGTACCTCAAAGAGGTCGGCAGCACTCAGCGTAACATGAGTGATCCAAAGGCTCGAAAGTCTGAGACCCAGGATGAGATCATCGAGAAACTGGCATTCATCTCAAATTTCATCAGACGCTTGATCAAGAAGACCTTCGGAGCGAGCCGATATAGTTACTACCAGAAACCAGATGACGAAAGTGCCGCTCCATACAAATTCATCGACATTAGTCCCGCCATCAAATCGGAGAGGAAGAATGTCACGAAGGAGATCCTCGTTGCATGCCGCTACTATGGCATAGAGAAATTGAAGTCCTTCGAGGAGCAGATCCGAGCGGGAAATCCAAGGAACGTTGAGCTCATCAAGGACTACATTGGCTTTGTCGGCGCTGACTACATGCGACAACTCACGAATGGTTGAGCATTGGGGTCATACCGACATGCCACTTCCGGTACTTCAAGTACTGAGGGATCTTGGGTAATTCATGATGACCGTTTTGGCATCATGAGAGTGAGATAGGATTGTGTTTCACACCGTTGGTAATCGCATGATACCATAGGTAGGTGCACGTTTTCCGCTTGTAGCTCCGTTGCCTGTTTGATCCAACTTTCAAGCGAATGCAAGATCTTTTGCTAATTCAATTCAATAGGACATACTGGTTGACCTCCAATACACTTTTGAGAACGTAATTCGTTCTCCGGTTTTTACATCCACTCATCTCCCTTCCCCGTCGAAGTACGGATGTGGGGGGTGTCAATAGGGATGGGGTCCCAGTATAGTCGCTATACAGGTACATGCCATATACTTTTGGCTCAAGTGCCCAACCAGGTAAAAAAGGAGCTTTAGCGCGCGAGCTTCATGTTGAACTAAGGGCTAGAACGGGGCCAGGGCACACCTTTTCATCCGTTCGCATATATATATATAATATATATATATATGTATTTTTATATTATCACCAAAAAAATATATATAATATGTATATATCCTACCACTGAAAAGATCAAAAAGGTAGGTCTCAGGGGGGTACCATTTACATATTATGTATATATTCATTGTATATAGTTTGGAGGTCATTTCGAAATTCCTTGAAATTCTATGAACGCCAGTGTGATCTCCCTTGTCATGAACGCCAGTCACGGATGTTCGGCTACCAGATGTTCTGCAACCAACTTCGCGGCCCATTTCCAACCTCAAACGCCCGCGTCCGCGCGCGGGTGTCTCCGCGGGTGTCCCCACCGCCCTTCCTACCGCACGGCCCCGACGGGGCCGTGCGGAGTCTGCAGGGGAAGGGGAGTTTACCGTGGAGTCGGACCGCCAGAGGATCAGTCAAGTTCTCTCAGGCGCCGGCACCGTGAGCGTTCCGCCGACGACGACGCGCAGTCGCGGACAGTCGCGGCGCCGAGTTTCGCGTTCGACGCTCGGTGATCGGTGGGAGTCGCCGGACTCCGATGTTGGTCTCTGGTGGGGAAGCCGATGAAAGGGACCGCTCTACAGGAAAAGCTTCAGCTTGGAACCCGACACAGGTTCCGGTGGACCCAGACGGACATGAACAACTGTTGCTGGTACGAAACGCTGTGGTACGAACGATGCTGGGTTGTGAACGATGCTCCTGTTTTCAACGTTGCATCGACGGAAGCCACCTGACGCTGGCCGACGGGACGGGGCTTTCGAATGAGTGAGAAGGCAGGGAGAAGGCTCAGGGGATCGATGAATGGGAGAAGAATGGATGCAGACGATGCAAGCCATTACTTTTTTCTGCCTTGATTCGCACCGTTTTCTTTATGACGTGAAAACATGTATTTCTGTGTTGTTCAATCATTGATTGAGTCTTGAGAAAACACACCTCCCCTTCATCCAGAGTCTACAGAATAGCTTCACATCCTCAGGACATACACAAAAAAATCCTGTTCTTCTCAGGTGACTCTCAAGGGTAGGAATCCTCGGGACTTCCCATTGAACCGCCTGAACTTCATCTTCATGGGTTCGCTCCGTTCAACGGACCAATGGTCGGGGACCGCAGACAGCTGCGGAAAGAGCAGCGAAAGAGCAGCGGACCAAAAAAAACGTGCCTGAAATCATCATGGAACATGAGGTACGGGGAAAGTTAAAGCCATCAAGTAATAGGCTTTCTTAATGGCTTTCCCATACTGAAATCATAAAAAGATAATATGTCATGATGCTTTTGGGAAAGCATTGAATAACAAGACTTGAGGTGCCATGGATCCCTGCGTCTGGTCTTTATAGAATGTCTTTGACAGGCCTCGTGAACCACAAGCTCCATATCCATCTGGAGAGTCCGCAGCCCAGATGAGTCACGCTTTCGACACAAGCGCACGAGCGCAGGCTCGGATGGAGCGCTCGGATGGGCGCTGAGAAGGTTCCTTGAACAAAAAGGGCTTTGAGCTGGTTTGGTGGTCGAAACGGTTTTACTCCACTCCCAACGCGCTTCCTGTCAGGGTGCCCTGTCTGGAGACCTGTTTACGTCGTGTGGAGATATCCAGCCAGGTGACCCCGAACGGAAGCAGCTGGCTGGTTCTTCTTCGGCACAGACGTTGAATCTCCAGCGGCAGTCTGTGCCAAGCGTCTTTGGACGGACCCACATGTCTTCTGAGAGGTGATTAGAGCCACTTTTCTATTGGCGGCCACGTCCAACACCATCTCCAGGAGGACCACCATGCCACGTCCCCCTCCCTCTTAGACCACCATGGGTGATCCAGCCCTCCGGATCCTGCCGTACCGCGCTGAACCCCACCCCCTTCCGCGGTCCTGCCGGACCCAGGGGGCGACCTGCACCAGTACCGGCTGCTGCTGAACCTGCAGCGGGTGCAGTTTCGGCACCTGGCGGAGCCGAACCGTGGCGTGGCGGGCGAAGGGTGCGGCGGAGAGGGTGTGGAGAGGTTCTCGGACCAAAGTGATTAGAAGGTCCAAGAAGGTGATTTTCTCAGGTTTTCTCCCAGGCAGAAGGAACCAGTGCTGGCTACGGGAGGTTCTTGGAACGAAATTCCACGAAGCGGGTCCCGTTCAAGGCCGATGCTGGCGTCCATTGGTCCATTCCTGGAACCCCAGTCCCAACCGGTTGTTCCAATATGGCAAGCCTATGATCCTTTACATAGGACATGGCTGGGACTGGGTTTCGTTCCCTCCATGTCTTTCTGGTTGGGACTGGGTTTCCACCCAGACGCTCCTGGACCCGAACCTATGCAGGGGTCGGACCCGAATCCTCTGGAGGGGTCGGACCCTCAAATCCCTGTGGTTTTGAGGGACCCAAGGGCTGTTTGGAGCGTCTGGGCACCAGGTTTCTAGGTGAAACCGGTGCTCGTTTTAACCCAGTGGGGTCCGAACCGACCCCGGTCCGGCCGCCTCTAGACACGACCCGAGTGACGTCCTGGGACTGCCAGTCCAGAGGTGCCGAGGGACTCCGGGGTGGTTGTTCGTCGGGGTCGACTTCTGAACCAGTGCCGTCCTGGCAGTCCGGACGTCACGTGACGTGTCTGCGGATGGGCGGATGGGCGGAACGCTGTTCGAGGGAACGGCGAACCAGCCGGTCGTGCCGGGGTTCCGACGGTGCGCCGGCGCCGGTCCTGAAAGGAGGTGGGGGGGTGCCAATTATTTCATGTCACATCCACAAGACCCTGGATGGGACGAAAGGAAGAACCACCTCACTCCACTCATGATGGGAGTCGGTATTGTTCCTTTCAGATGACGTTCTGCAACGAGTTTTCCTGAGTGCAAGACATGCGCTTCGGTCCATGCCCAAAAGGCGGCGGTATCTGGCTGTGATGTTCCAGCTTCTTTCAGATGTCCACTCTCTGTGGTGCAAGACATGTTCATCAGAAAGAACTGCATTACTTGCATCGTGAGAAGTGCTTTTGGAATGCTTTTAGCTCAATCCTCCAGTGCGGTTGGTCTTGTTCTGTTGGCCGGAACTGATTTGACACCCTCGCATGAAGCACTGCTAGAGTGCTTCTAGCAGTTGGACATCTCGCAATGGCTTCCGGGGAGCTGTTGTTGTGACATGCTGACACTTTCGCCCATGTTGGGCCCACACCGAAGGTGAACGAGTGGGTGTAACACACCACGACATCAGCACGTCGATCTTGCAGGTTGTTTGGAGGTTTTTCTTTGGAGGCTGGCGCTCGACTCCCCACTCCGTACCGCAGTGCTCAGGTTCCTTCTTGCCGGACTTTGCGAAGGAAGAGGAGGCGGACGACGACCTTTGCGGCGTGGCCAACTTTTTGTATCAGAGCCTTTGGCAAAACGACCCCTCCACATCATCTAGAGCGTTCCTGGAAGCGTCAAGAAATGGAACACAAACAAGGGGAGCGGATGAGGCAAGGCGGATTGGATGTCGTGATGTGAACATGTAAAACAAAAGTGAAAGAAAGAAAGAAAGAAAGAAGGAAAGAAAGAAAGAAAGAAAGA